GTTCAAGGAGACGGGCAATGCCAGATCATGGCCGTTGAAGGTTGCGTGACGATGATGGCGGTTTGGAGGCAGGACAGGAGAGAGGAGAGCAAGGGGGCAGACCAGACAGGGGGGAAGGCACGGGAGGAGTGAGGAGGGGTGAACGTTTCCGGCCCTGCCTCTCAGCGGCGCCTCTCAGTGTCTCAAGGAATGTAACGATGAGACGATGAGATGCCTCAAGGAATGTAGTGCCTAAAGCTCACCAGTGAGACTGAAACGATGAGATGCCTCAAGGAATGAAGCTACTGCTCACGAGTGCAGCACTCACCATAGCACGTCTTGTCAGCCTCGTTGAAGGCAAGGCCATTCTCGCAATAGCAGAAAAAATCGTTAGGACCGAGAGTGGTGCAGGAACCCTCTAACCCACACACCCCGCTGCCGGCACACGGGTCTGCAGAGGAAGCGATGGTGACGCAGGGAGAGCAGGTTAAATGGTGACGCAGGGAGAGCAGGTTAAATGGTGACGCAGGGAGAGCAGGTTAAATGGTGACGCAGGGAGAGCAGGTTAAATGGTGACGCAGGGAGAGCAGGTTAAATGGTGACGCAGGGAGAGCAGGTTAAATGGTGACGCAGGGAGAGCAGGTTAAATGGTGACGCAGGGAGAGCAGGTTAAATGGGTGAAAATGTTGCTTATGATTGTGCACTCCCCCACACGCGCGCACTCGACCACACACTAGCACTCACCCACACACTAGCACTCACCCACACACTAGCACTCACCCACACACTAGCACTCACCCACACACTAGCACTCACCCACACACTAGCACTCACCCACACACTAGCACTCACCCACACACTAGCACTCACCCACACACTAGCACTCACCCACACACTAGCACTCACCCACACACTAGCACTCACCCACACACTAGCACTCACCCACACACTAGCACTCACCCACACACTAGCACTCACCCACACACTAGCACTCACCCACACACTAGCACTCACCCACACACTAGCACTCACCCACACACTAGCACTCACCCACACACTAGCACTCACCCACACACTAGCACTCACCCACACACTAGCACTCACCCACCACACACGTCTTGTGGTCATCGTCGAATACAAAACCGTCCTTGCACACGCACACGGGCATGTCTATATCAACAGTGCAGGTAGCTTCTCCACAGTCTTCGTTGGCACACAGGTCTGCACAGAAATCGTGATTGTTTCACGCAGGGGCGAAGAGGCACACACACCAGCACACAGGCAAGGTAGGGAAAGGGGGTTCAAACGAGTCAGTTTCTGCTATGATTGTGCGCCGCTGAACCAAACGCCAGCACTCATCCACACGCCAGCACTCATCCACACGCCAGCACTCATCCACACGCCAGCACTCATCCACACGCCAGCACTCATCCACACGCCAGCACTCATCCACACGCCAGCACTCATCCACACGCCAGCACTCATCCACACGCCAGCACTCATCCACACGCCAGCACTCATCCACACGCCAGCACTCATCCACACGCCAGCACTCATCCACACGCCAGCACTCATCCACACGCCAGCACTCATCCACACGCCAGCACTCATCCACACGCCAGCACTCATCCACACGCCAGCACTCATCCACACGCCAGCACTCATCCACACGCCAGCACTCATCCACACGCCAGCACTCATCCACACGCCAGCACTCATCCACACGCCAGCACTCATCCACACGCCAGCACTCATCCACACGCCAGCACTCATCCACACGCCAGCACTCATCCACACGCCAGCACTCATCCACACGCCAGCACTCATCCACACGCCAGCACTCATCCACACGCCAGCACTCATCCACACGCCAGCACTCATCCACACGCCAGCACTCATCCACACGCCAGCACTCATCCACACGCCAGCACTCATCCACACGCCAGCACTCATCCACACGCCAGCACTCATCCACACGCCAGCACTCATCCACACGCCAGCACTCATCCACGCGCCAGCACCACAAGCCTTCTGCCAGTGGCGTGTGGCAGTCAGCCTACTCACCTTCAGCGGCGCTGGCGTGGGTCGCGAGGAAGCTGATGGCAACGACACCAGCGACGACCGCGGCAAGGCCACACTGGCCGGACAGGCGCGTGTAGCGAATCATGGCGACAGGAGTCGGCGCGGGGAACGGGAAGTTTGGGTTTTTGAGGCGCGTCCAAAGGCGGCCCGAGGAAACGGGAAGAGTGGGATGACGATGACGTGGCGATGGCAACGAGCTTCAGGCCCGAGTTGAACCGCCGGGATGGGACTGACGACGCTGGCACTCGCGATGAGGTGAGATTGGGCGGGACCTGCCACTGAGACGATGCGACTGAGAAGGTGCCACTGAGACGATGCCACTCAAGGTGCGACCGAGAAGATGCGATTGAAAAGGTGCGACTGAGAAGATGCGATTGAAAAGGTGCGATTAAGAAAGTGCCACTGAGAAGGGAGGAGACGAAGGCGCGCAATGAGCGAGGAGCGGTGGGAGAATGTGATTGAGCCCTCGGGAGCGGGCGTCGATTTATATTCAGAGCGAGTGGTCAATCGCACATGATGAATTATTATTCCTCGAAATTGGCTCGTGGATCATGTAACGAGTTTCGTCACGGAAGAAGGATAGGAGGAGAGGAGGGGTGGGGGTGAGGGGGAGGAGAGGAGGACGGGAGGGGGTGAGGGGAGGAGAGGAAGCTCAAGGGGATCGGCACTGCGCCGAGGCCCGGAAACGCGCATTCGGTGGACTTTAGGACTAGATGATGATGGTGTTGCGGCAGCGAGAAGGTCGACCAAGGGTGTGGCGAGTGTCGTCATGGTGGGCACAAGGGGGAGGAACGCGAATGAGTGGACGAGGGGAGCGGCGATGACGGGAGGAAAGCCGTTCGGGAGGCGCGAGCGTGCGGCTAGTGAACGCGTTAAGTTGGCCAATCCCAATGCACAAAGGCGTGCTTCAAACTCTGGCTGGCCGCAGCGCAAACAAGCTTCTGCCTCGAGTATCAGTACCCAGCTCGAGTAGAGAGTTGCGACAAGTGCGGGAGTTGCGGAGAGTGATCCCTTGGATGAACGCGTTCAAGTTTGCGGTGGTGGTCGAAAAAAGGCTCAGAAGCGGACGTGGTTGAATACGGTCAATTACGTTTAGGCGCGGTTTTCGGCTCTTACCACATTGCGCACCAGGATGAACCATTCAAAACGAATTGGAACGTGTTTCGTAACGTCCTTCAATTGTTTTTCATATACCCTATATTTTTGTTACAGGTGCAATGATCTAAATCGAGAAAATTGCACTCGGGCGTCAACCGAGTACAAATTATGAGCGAAGGCATGGGAAAATACCTATACGAAACATGCAAGTGGTTACGCGGTGCGTGCAAGCTACCTAGTGCGATGCTGGCATCAAGGTTCGGGCTAGTCCCGAAGCGTAGGCTGACACGGCCGGGCCAACAGTGCATGGTTTGGTGAATAATGCACGCGAAGGTTGGCGAAGCCCCGTTAGCAGTAACGGGCGAACAACGGCTGCTGCTGTACGCGGTATTGAAGCACGCCGTAAAGAATGGTGGAAAAATCCTTACACTACCCACCCCCTGAAAAAACCTTCTCTGCTACGCGAGTGCATGTATACCACGAAAATCCCAGCTCCTCAGGTACACTTGCAGGGCAGGGTGGTTTTCGATGTTGGCCAGGGGCACCTAGCTGTATTTGGTCGGGATGCGGTCCTTCCAGCGAACGAGGAACTCGATCCTCCTGATTCCTGCGGGGTAGCGAATCCGATGGCTTAGTTTTTTTTCGGGGTCGACGATCGGCTCCGATGCAGGTCGAGTCATTGACGGTGGGCGATTGCGTGGCAGTTGGCTTGTGGTGGGGATGTACGGGTGGAGCAGGCTGACATGGAACGATGGGCTAATGTACCAGTCTAACGGTAACAGTAGGTGTCAAAACATGATAATGGTTATGTTGCGTAGGCTATAGTGGGGTAACCCTTAAAGGGTACAACCCAATTAGGGCTAGTACTTGTATTCATCTTGTTCTCAATGCCATCATTCTCGTTCAGTATTTTGACATGGTTTCAGAGCAGGTCCTATTCCACGACCGTTTTTTTAGGGCCCACCGAAGAGTACCCTGCCCGTCGCGCTGCCCCACTAGTCGCGTTGCCCTACCTTGCCCTTCCCTGCGTTGCGCCGCCCCGCGCACGCCCTGCCCTGCGTCGCGCCGCCCCGCGCACGCCCTGCCCTGCGTCGCGCCGCCCGCGCACGCCCTGCCCTGCCCGTCGCATCATCCTAGGGCCCGTGCGCCGCCTTGATCTGCCCGTTTCCCCCCGTGTCCGCGTGCCGCCCTGCTGGCAGCGCACCACCCTGCCCTGGCCGCACGCCGCCCTTCCCCGGCCGCGCGCCGCCCCGCCCTGGCTTGCGCGCCTCCCTAGTGCCCGCGCGTCGCCCCGAACAGACTTGCGTGCCTCCCTGCTTCCTGCGCGCCGCCCTGCCTTGCCTGCGTGTTGCCCTGCTGGTTGTGCGCCACCCTGCTCTGCCCGTTATGGCCTCTATGTTCTCACCTTCGATTCTGAGGGCCGTCCGATCCAGTTTGAGACCTGGCTAGACGACTTACAGCTGTACCTACTGAGCGAGTCTAAGGACAGTGTCTCCTTATTTGACCACACGTCTAGGAGCTCTCTCGCCCCCCCCGAGACAGCTGACAGTGCGACTCGCTCACAGTGGCTTACCCGTGACGCTACTGCTCGCCTCGCCGTTCGCAACCACCTGCCGTTAGCCAAACGCGTGCACTCCTCCCCTGCCACTGCTGCTCTAGGCCGACTCATACTGCCCTACCTCTTTCCTGAGCTGTCGGCCTTGTCCACAGTCGACGACCTCATCATACACCTTCTCATGGCACTCCTCGCACTCCCTTCTTTGAGGGGTGTTCCCCCTCCCCCCTTGCCCCCTCTGTCGCTTCTGCTGCTGCTGTTGACTTCCTTGGTGCTGCTTCTGCTCCTAGTGGGAGGCGCCACAGCGGCAAGGGCAAGGGAGGCAAGAGTGGTGGGGGTGGCGGCAGTGGAGGCGGTGGTGGTGGCGGTGGTGGTGGTGGTGGTGGTGGTGGCGGTGGTGGTGGTGGAAGTGGTGGTGGGAGTTGAGGCGTCGGTGGCGGCGGTGGTGGTAGCGGTGGGAGTGGTGGCGGCGGTGGTGGCAGCAGTGGGAGTGGTGGCGGCGGCAGTGGTGGCGGTCGGGGTGGAGCGGTCCAGAGGGGAGGTTCTGGTGGTGGCCAGAGGCAGCAGCAGCAGCGTCCCCATGAGACCCTCAGCTTCGTGAGTGGTTTGCTCAGCGTGGGGCGTCTGGGGGTAGTGTTCGCTGCCCGTACGTCATTCGCACATGTGATCGGGCTGGTCAGGCATGCGGGAAGGTTGGTCACACTCAGTACCGCTGCTTCTGCCGTCCTGACGACGCCTGGCGCGCAGAGTTTGGCGACGAGGCTGAACTCCCCCGCTGGCGAGAGCTGCTTAGGACCGATGTGGATATCTTTGCTCTTGACTATGATGCTATTCTTGCTGCCATGTATGCTTTGACTGTTAGTGCTGAGGGTGACTGTTACCTGTGTGTGCCGCCCGACCCAGGTATAGAGGCTGCTGCTCTAGGTGCTAGTGCGCCTGCTCTCTCTGGTACTGCGCCTGCTGAGGCCTTGCACACCTTCACGCTTGACTCAGGTGCTTCCCGCTGCTTATTTTGCGACAGTACTACAGTCACACCACTCCCTGCACCTGTTGCAGTCTCTCTGGCTGACCCCTCAGGGGGCCCAGTTCTTGCACGTTCCTCCACTATTCTCCCGTGTCCGGCGGTTCCGTGTGGCTCATTTTCCGGTCTTCACCTCCCCTCGTTCTCTACGAACTTGATGAGTACCACTGCCCTCCAAGATGAGATGGTCACTACCACCACTCCTGGGGGTCAGCGTGTGTCGATCTGCACGTGTGCACGGATGGGCCGTCACCTGGCCACGTTCACCCGTCGGCCTCAGTCGAGCCTGTACACACTGACTACTGAGCCTGCTCAGGTGGCTGTGTCTGGTCAGGTGTTCGCGTCAGGTCAGGTAGCAGCCCCCTGTTCGTGTCGCCTCCTCACGCACCACACTCTCCTTTAGCACCACCGCCCTGGTCATCCCTCCCTGCCACGCCTCCGTGGCATGCACTCCCGCCTCCTTGTCTCTGGTCTTCCCAGGTCTCTGCCTTCCCTCCCGCCCTCGCCTGTGCCACCCTGCCTTCCTTGCGTTGAGGGGCGGCAGCGCGCCGCTCCTCACTCCTCCTCGTTTCCCCCGACGACTGCTCCCCTGCTGACTCTCCATATGGATGTGTGGGGCCCAGCCCTCGTCAATGGACAGGACCGCGAGCGATACTTTCTGCTGGTTGTTGACGACTACTCGTGTTACACCACGGTCTTCCCCTTGTGCAGCAAGGGGGAGGTCCCTTCTGTCTTTCTCCCTTGGATCCGCGCTGTCCGTCTCCAGCTCCGCGAGCGGTTCCGCCAGGACCTTCCTGTCCTGCATCTGCACTCTGACAGAGGTGGTGAGTTCTCCTCCCACCTCCTACAGGACTTTTGTCGTGGGGAGGGCATCCTCCAGTCGTTCACGCTTCCGGCCTCCCCGCAGCAGAATGGGGTTACTGAGCGCCGCATTGGCTTAGTCATGGATGCTCCCCATTTTCCGTGGCCGTTTGCGGTCCGGTACGCTGCGCATCAGCTCAACCTCTGGCCCCGTGTCTCCTTGCCGGAGACCTCGCCTACACTGCGTTGGATGGGGAAGGTTGGCGATGCGTCGGTGTTCCGGGTCTGGGGCTCTTGTGCCTTTGTCCGCGATACCACCGCGGACAAGCTCTCCTCTCGCGCCTTTCCCTCCGTCTTCCTTGGCTTTCCCCCTGACGCGCCTGGCTGGCAGTTTTACCACCCCACCACGTGCCATGTTCTGTCCTCTCATGACGTCATGTTTGATGAGTCGGTTCCCTTTTATCGTTTCTTCCCCTACCGCACTGCCCCTTCCCCCCCCCCCCCCCCCCCCCTGCCGCTCTTCCTCGCTCTTCCAGTGACCTCGACAGGCTCAACCAGGGGAGAGGGGTCTACCTGGGAAACACCTGAAGGAGCAGGACCCTGAGGGGAGAGGGGTTCTACCGGGGGCGGACCTGGAGCGAGGAAGCGCGGGGGGGGGGGGGGGGGGGGGGGGAGGGGGGCAGCGCGGTAGGGGAAGAGACGGTAAAAGGGAACCGACTCGTCAAACGTGTTGTCCTGAGAGGACAGAACACGGCGCGATGTGGGGTGGTAAAACTGCCGGCCAGGCGCGTCAGTAGGGAAGCCAAGGAAGACGCAGGGAATGGCGCGAGCGGAGAGCTTGTCCGTGGTGGTATCGCGGACAAAGGCACGAGAGCCCCAGACCCGGAAACGTGACGCATCGCCAACCTTCCCCGTCCAACGCAGTGTGGGCGAAGTCTCCGGCAAGGAGACACGGGGTCAGAGGTTGAGCTGATGCGCAGCGTACCGGACCGCAAACGGCCACAGAAAATGGGGAGCAGCCGCATGGATCATGGAGGTGCGAGCGATCTCCATGACTAGGCCAATGCGGCGCTCAGCAACCCCATTCCGCTGCGGAGAGGCCGGAAGCGTGAACGACTAGAGGATGCCCTCCCCCTGACAAAAGTCCTGCAAGAGGTCGGAGGAAAACTCACCACCTCTGTCAGAGTGCAGACGTAGGACGGGAAAGTCCGTCTGGAAACGGTCGCGGAGCTGGAGACGAACAGCGCGGATCCAAGGGATCAAGACAGCAGGGACTTCACCCTTGCTGCGCAAGGGGAAGACCGTGGTGTACCGCGAGTAGTCGTCAACAACCAGCAGAAAGTACTGCTCGCGGCCCTGTCCCCGGACGCGGGCTGGGCCCCACACGTCCATGTGGAGAGTCTGCAGGGGAGCGTCTGTCGGGGGAAACGAGGAGGAGTGAGGAGCGGCGCGCTGCCGCCCCTCGACACAAGGGAGACACGGCGGGGCAGGCGAGCGTGGGAGCGACGGCAGCGACTGGGGAAGACCAGAGACAAGCAGACGGGAGTGCATGCCACGGAGGCGTGGCAGAGAGGGGTGACCAAGGCGGTGGTGCCAGAGGAGAGTCTGGTGCGACAGGCGACGACACAAGCAAGGGGCAGACTGCAGTCCGGACAAGGACACCTGACCAGTAGCAGCAACCTGGGGAGACCCGACAGTCAGGGTGTACAGACTCGACCCAGGCCGACGGGTGAACGTGGCCAGGTGGCGGCCCGTGCGGGCACACGTGCAGATCGCCACACGACGTCCTCCAGGGGTGAAGGTGTCAACCCACTCATCCTGGATGACGGCGTTACTCACCAGGTTCGTGGAGAACGAGGGGAGGTGGAGACCTGTAAGTGAGCCAGACGGGACCGCCGGACAGGGGAGGACAGTGGAGGAACGAGCAAGGACAGGTTCCCCAGAGGGGTAAGCAAGGGAGACGGGAACCGGTGCAGAGAGCGGTGTGACTGTGGTGCTGTCGCGGAAGAAGCAGCGGGAGGCACCTGAGTCTAGCGTGAAAGTGTACAAGGCCTCAGTAGGCGCAGTACCTTAGAGAGCAGACTCACTAGCACCTAGAGCAGCAGACTCACAAGCACCAAGGGCAACAGACTCACAAGCACCTGGAGCAGCAGCCTCTATACCAGGGTCTGGCGGAACACACAGGTAACAGTCACCCTCATCACTAATAGTCAATGCATACATGGCAGCAAGGATAGCATCATAGTCAAGATCAAAGATCTCTACTCCCCTCCAAAGCAGCTCAGCCCAGTTGGTCATCTCAGAGCAGTCAGGAAACTGAGCACGCCAGGCACCACTAAGGCGGGAAAAGCAGCGGTGCTGGGTGTGCAACCTCCCGAAGGTCTAACCAGCACGCTCACCCGTACGAATGACATACGGGCAGGTACCACCACCCCCAGGCGACTGACGCTGCGCGTACCACTCACGAAGGTCCTGCGGCGTACGGGGCAGGCGCTGGCGCTGCTGCTGCTGTGCCTGGCTGCCTGTAAAGCCGCTGTGCCGGGCCGCACCACTGCGTCCACCGCCACCGACGCCGCTGCCACTCCCACCGCCGCCACCTCCGCCGCTGCCACCCCCACTGCCGCCACCACCACCGACCCCAACACCCCCACCCCCACCCCCGCCGCTCCCACCACCCCCGCCGCCACCACCCGAGCCTCCACCACCGCCTCCACCCCCACCACCCCCACCACCCTTGCCGCCCTTCCCCTTGCCGCTGCGGCGCCTGCCACTGGAAGCAGACGCAACCCCAACCTCCTCAGCACCAAGGAGGTCGACAGCAGCAGCAGTGGCGACAGAGGGGAGGAGGGGAGAGGGGGAACACCCCTCGAAGAAGGGGGTGCGAGGAGTGCCTCGAGAAGCGCCTATAGTGAGCTCAGTGGGGTCCATGGCGAGGAAGGTGTCCCTGACAGCGCGAAGAGAGTCAGGGAGGCGAGTGACTAGGAGATAGAGGGTGTAGTGGATAGGGGGAGGGTTCTTGGTGAGGAAGTCGGCAGGGGTCGCAGCACGCACCCGAGTGTCGCTAGTGCGGAGGTGGGTGATGAGATCAGCGACTGTAGGAAAGGCGGACAGGTCAGGAAAGAGGTAGGGCAGGATAAGACGGCCTAGCGCAGCAGTGGCAGGCGAGCTGTAGCGAGCTACGACTGCGTCGAACAGGTCCTTGGCGGTTTTCTGTTGGCTAAAGTGCGCGCGCTCGGCTTACGGTAGGTGGTTGCGCACAGCTAGGCGGGCAGCAGCGTCGCGAATAAGCCACTGGTCACGAGTGTCAGCGTCAGCAGTGTCTGCAGGGGCGGCAGCGCTACCAGACGTATGAGCGAACAGGGACACACGATCCTTAGACTCGCACTGAAGGTAGAGCCTAAGGTCGTCTAACCAGGTTTCAAATTCGATCGGGCGGCCCTCTGCGTCAAAGGTGAGAACATTGTAAGTCGCCATGGGCAAAGGGCAAGCGGCAGGATGCGTGCACAGGGCAGAAGGAGGCGGCGCTCACTGGGTTAGGGGCAGCCGGCAGGGGAGGAAGCGGACTGCACACACATGCAGGGTAGGGAGTGCGGCGGGCAGGCTGCGCACGGGCAGGGCAGGGCAGGCTGCGCACGGGCAGGGCAGAGCGCGGCTGCGGGTTGCGCACGGCAGGGCAGGGTGGCGCGGCGGTGGACTGCGCACGGCAGGGCAGGGTGGCGCGGCGGTGGGCTGCGCACGGGCAGGGCAGGGAGGCGCGGCGGCTGGCTGCGCACGGGCAGGGCAGGTGGCGCGGCTGTGGGCTGCGCACGAGCAGGGCAGGTGGCGCGGCGGCGGGCTGCGCACGGGCAGAGCAGGTGGCGCGGCGGCGGGCTGCCCACGGGCAGGGCAGTGCGCGGCGACGGGCGGCGCACGGACAGGACAGGCGCGCGGGCGGCGGGGCGACGCGACAGCAGCGCGACGCGGCCAGCAGTGCGCGCGGGGTGGGGCAGGCAGAGCAGTGCGCTAAAAAAAATTCGCGCTGCAGCAGTGGCGCGTGGCTGACAGGGGCAGCGCGACTCGGGGTAGGGCAGTGGGGTAACGTGGTAACAGGTGGTCCCTATGAAAAGCTTAGGCCCTAAGGACCCATGGCTCTTAATACCATGTCAAGATAATAGACTAGAATAGGATGAACTAAGGCAAGAATGTGATACAAGTATGAAACCCTAAAGGGGTTGTACCCCTTAGTGGCTACCCCACTGTAGCCTACAACATACAAACAACAAATATAGTTTGACAGTTGTTTCATGTAACAGTTGAATGATTCAAGACCTATGCTATTCAGCTCCCCCACATGCTAGGCAGGGGATGCGGTAGCATAGGGTCTGGGTCAATTAACTGTTACGCATTTCCATCATGCTATGCATTCATTTCACTATATTGGACCGAAGTATATACCGGTACTACCGGTACATTCACCACAGTAGCATATATCAGAATCACTAGGCAAGAATGAATGAACTAGCAGAAGTTTGAGTACAAATATGAAACCCTAGTTGGGGTTGTACCCCATATTGGCCTACCAACATATAACACACTGCATTATATTTATGCATTTTACATCATATCCATCATTATACTTCG